ATTAATGCAATCATGGGGTACAATGTGCTGGTTTTATATACAATTTGAAATATTTTCATCAAACTGGTTAACATAGCCTTCATGGCATTTTCTATATATCTTCTTGAGACTGACTTTTCTCTCAGCACAATACCCTTGAGAGCCATCCACGTTGCTTCATTATAGGTTCATTCTTTTACTGCTGAGTAGGATTCTATGGCATGGATACATGATGTTTTTTTTAACCATTCATACACTGAAAGACATTGGGAATTTTCCTAGTTTTGGGCTATTACCAAACATTCATGCACAAGTTTTTGTGTGAACATACTTGTTTATTTCTCTGGTATAAATATTCAACAGAAAAATTGATGGGTCCTATAATAAGCATGTTTAGTTTTGTAAGAGCTGCTATGCTCGTGTCCAGAATGCCCGTATCATTTTATATTCCCATCAGCAATGTATGAGTGATCTAGTTTTTCTGTATCCTCACCAGCATTTGGTGGTGTCACTATTTTTTCTTTCTTTCTTTTTTTCTTTTTTGAGACAGAGCCTCAAGCTGTCACCCTGGGTAGAGTGCCGTGGTGTCATAGCTCACAGCAACCTCCCAAGCCAATCTCTTGCCTCAGCCTCCCAAGTAGCTGGGACTACAGGCGCCCACCACAATGCCCAGCTATTTTTTGGTTGTAGTTGTCATTGTTGTTTGGCAGGCCCAGGCTGGATTTGAATGTGCCAGCTCTGGTGTATGTGGCTGGCACCTTAGCTGCTTGAGCTACAAGTGTGGAGCCGGTGTCACTATTTTTTATTTTAGCCATTCTAATAGGTATGTAGAGATATCTTACTACAGTTTTAAATTACGTTTCCCTGATGGCTAATGGTGAATATCTTTCTATGCATTTATGTGTCATCTGTATATCCTCTTTGGTGACACGTCTTTTCATGTCTCTTGCCCTTTTTTAGTTGAATTTCTTTTTGTACTGTTGAATTTTGACAATTCTTTATATATTCTAAATATAAAGTCTGTCAAATATGTCGTTTGCAATTACTTTCTACCAGATATTTGACTTGAACAGATATTTTACTGAAGAAGATATACAGATGCCAACTAAACAAATGGAAAGATCTTCAGCACTCACTAGGGAAATGCAAATGTGATCACAATGAGACAGTACCACACACCTATTAGAATGGCTAAAATTAAAAAGATGGGGTGGTGCCTGTGGCTCAGTGAATAGGGCACAGGCCCCACATACCGAGGGTGGCAGGATTGAACCTGGCCCTGGCCAAACTCCAACAACAACAACAAAAAATAGCCAGGCATTGTGGTGGGTGCCTGTAGTCCCCACTACTCTGGAGGCTGAGGGAAGAGAATAGCCTAAGCTGGCTCAGGGCCTGTGGCTCAAGTGGTTAAGGCGCCAGCCACATACACCTAAGGTGGCAGGTTCAAATCCAGCCTGGGCCCGCCAAACAACAATGACGGCTGCAACCAAAATATAGCTGGGCGTTGTGGCAGGGACCTGTGGTCCCAGCTACTTGGGAGGCTGATGCAGGAGACTCGCTTGAGCCCAGGAGTTGGAGGTTGTTGTGAGCTGTGAT